TTCTTTCTTTCTTTCTTTCTTTCTTTCTTTCTTTCTTTCTTTCTTTCCCAAGCTATGATCTTTCCCCACCCCCAAAGAGTCATCTGGTGGTTTAAAAACATGAAACATATAAACATTTTACAGGCTTATCATTGTCTGGGACCAGTTCCTTCGGCCCCCACCCCCGAGATGGTTCCCAAAATTGGCACATCTCTGCTGCAGAACAACACCCGTTTAGACACCGTTTGCACGCAACTGACTTCGTTATCACCTCACTTAACGTGTGTTAGCAGAAAAGTTGGTAAGAGTCCTGGCACAATCCCATGTAGTGTACCGCTGCAGACTGCGGAGACGCTCAGCATTAAGCGGTTTGCACCGTATGTAAAGCAAATAAACGAGTGAAAAACAACAACAAAATCAACGCTGAGCGCATGGCAAGCTAGAATGGTAAGGCACAGGATGGGCTGCACCCGTTGTTGAAATCTCCACAAAATATCTTGAGGCTAAAACTCCCTAAGCAAGAAACCGGGGTCAAAGTTTATGGGACCATTCCCATAAGTTTATGGGACCATTCCCGTAAAGATGATCAACCCAGTCATGGTGCAGTTGAAGTTGCCCCAGTTGCTAGGGAAGATACACCCAGGATTCCATAGTAGCCTCTTAAAACCTGTGGTGGGATCGACCCTGAGGCCTCTACCTTGTGAGCCCCCAGACCCCATGGCCATAGGCCAAACCCATGACGAGGTGCAGCGAATCCTCTATTCGAAGTGGCACAGAAGACAACTCCAATACATAATCAAGTGGAAGGGCTACCCATTATCAGAGGCATCTGAGGTAAAGAGTAGGAACGTCCGGGCTGATTGACTTATAGCAAGATTCCAAGCAGAAATTCACAACCCTAAATTCTACATCTGCACTCCATTCGCTTTTGCTTTATACAGGTCACCTTCAAGAAGTGAGAAGAGCCTCATGTAATGATAGATGCTACTCGACTTACGATTGACCATTTAGCCAGTCTACTTATTAACCTGGTTTCAAGGTTTCAGGGGCCTTTCTCCCATGCTCCATCATGGGAGCCACATTTGTGTCCGCACTAATCCAAGACTGCGAATTTTTTGGGGGGGTCGGTGGGATTACTTCTGATTTCTGACAAAAACATGCCCATTGGCTGAAAGGGGTTCATCGAATGACCGTTTCAAAAGACTCTGAAAACGTAGAGACCCGCTTAACAACAGACTTGATTGATGACCCAAATTCAGGGTTCAATTATGGCCGTCGAGGACCATCTATACAGGCAGTCCTTGACTTACAACAGTGTCCACTCATGAAATACTACTATGGTCTTTTTAGGGTTGCCAACAGAAAGGGAAGGGGGAGCAGTGCAGCAGTTTGCAACATGGAAAGTGCATTCCACAAATGTTTTCAAAGATAGTAACTAGGTGACTGAAGTTTCTGCCATGCAAAATTCTAACTGGAGAGCATGATTGATGACTCTGGGCTAGGGATGTGTCCCATTGGAGAATATGAATTATGATACACCCAGGGGTGGGGGGAAAACTAGGGTCAAGGGTGACAATGAATGATGTGTCTCAGAGTCGGCTACACCCAGGCAGTGCCGGACATATTAACTCCCAATAAATCCTTTTGAAGTTTTGGAAGTTTGGCTCGAGACTCATGATTTAATTGGGGGTAACTGCCGGAATACCGACAAAGAGTTCATTTTGTGGGCATTCAAGGTTACAGCGGCACTGGGGGGAAAAAAGGACTGTTTTTCACACTTACGACCATTGGCAGCATTCCCATGGTCACGTGATCAAGATTCAGACACTTGGCAACTGATTCATATTTATGATGGTTGCGCACTGTCTTTGGCTCACACGATTCCCCTTTTGTGACATTCTGACGAGCAAAGTCAACGGGGAGACTAGATTCACTTAACAACTGGGTTACTAGCTTAACAACGGCTCTGATTCACTTTAACATCTGTGGCAAGAAAGCTTGTCAAATGGGGCAAAACTCACTTACCAAAAGTCTCACTTAGCAAACTGAAATTCAGGGCTCAGTTGTGGTCGTAAGCCAAGGAGCACTAGTTATTTGAATTTTACTTGCGTATGCAACAGGATAGTGTTTGTGCTTTAGCTTTTAATTTTTCCTCACCAGCACAGATGGACCAACCTAGATATTTTAATTTCTTCCACATTCTTTTTAAAAACGAAAACAATTCCACCCCCAAAATCAAGCCAAACGACACAACTAATCCAATGAAAGACACAGAGACCAAATCCTAATCTTTAAAATCAAAAGCAATGTTACATTAGATTTGTTTTCTCCCAAAGATCAGTTTGTAAAAAGAAGAGGTACCTCTGAATTTCCCATTGGAGGTATATAAGTATCTGTTTTCTAATCCAGTGCATTTCAACTTTAGCAACTTTTATGATACGTGGACTTCAATTCCCGGTATTCTGGGAGTTGAAGTCCACGCACCTTACAGTGGAGAAAGATCCTTCTAACCTACGTTGCCTGAATCACATCTCTGCTGCCCCAGTTGCCTACCCAAACCCCAACTTTTCCAGAAGTTTGCCACTCTTGATTGGGGCCCAACTCCAAGAACGCAAACACTACACACTAAAGAAAAATCAGACACAAAAGGTGCATTGCAACGGGAAGAACATTGGCCACACAATGTTTGCCTATTGAAAAAAAATACAAAAGAAACGCAAGAGAAAAATGCATGCACATTTTCATGCAGGCCCATTTTTATTTTTATTTTATTTTTTTCCCAGGTTGGAGTTGCAACAAAAAAAAAAAAAAGCAGAAATGAGGAAAATTAGCCAGGCCAGAATTGATAGGGACACGCATTCGTTTCCTCTTGTTAATTCCTTTCCGATGCCATCTGGCTGTCTTAAATAGCACCATCCACCCCAAAACTCTCTGGATATTTCGTCTACCACCTCAATCTCTTCACACACGTTCAAGTCTGAGCTCTGAAGAAGGCCTGGTTATTTTGGTTGGCAAAACGCCACCGTGAATCCCACGGGGGAACAACAGAACTCTTTGATCCAGTCAAAAACACAATGCATTTCGGCAGAATGCATTCCAAGGATTTAAGATATGGATCTCCACAAAGGAAGACAACCATTCTCGGCACCTACCTAAAGCAGGGATGGGCTTCAAAAAAATTCTTAACGGTGAGAGCAATCAACCAGTGGAATAGCTTATCTTCAGAAGTTGCGAGTGCTCCATCACAGGTGGCTTTCAAAAAAAAAGACTGGGCAATCCTTTGTCTGAAATGGTATAGGATCTCCTGCTCAAGTAGAGGGCTGGATTAGAAGACCTCCAACTCTATTATTCCATGTACTATGAAGCTCACATATCTTAAAGTTGTGGACGGCTCACAAGCACCTCCTGATCATCCTCCTAAGCAGTCGCACTTTCTAAGCTCAGCAAAGGCTTTGAACAAACTTGAAGACACCACCAGGACTTCAAAGTCACCTAGTTTCTTCCTCCTTTCCAAGGTGGTGGAAGAAGGAGACCCAAGAAAGAAAGCACAACAGTTGAGTTCAACTCAAGGTTGACTCACAGCTCAAAGCAAGCTACTGGTCAAACATTTGTGGAGATACCTCGGGCTGACCCAAGAGGTACAGGCAGACCAAAAAGTCCATCTCACCGCAAGCTACTTTACCCATTAGCAATGGACGCAAGTCTAGGTATGGTGCTAGCTCTCACCACCTTCTTGAATGATATTTCTCCAAACTTTCTGAGCTTGGTTGGTTTCTGGCAGACGTTTCATTACCCAACTAGGAAACACCGTCAATCATCAACATCTTTTAATGACCCCATAATCCCTTGCAGAATGGAGTCTGGGAAACTGAGTGGAGCTAGCAGAGTGTTTTAATGGCCAGATGCCTTTCCTGTCACCAGTGTGGAGTTTTGTTTAGCAGATATATTATTCTCATGGTGCCCAGAGAGAGAATTATCTGCCTCTACCTAGGATCGAACTCACAGCCTCCCAATTGTGGGGTGGGAGCTGCACCTCTAGGCCACTGCAACTCTCAGGTAACGTCATCAATGCTGAGTGCTAACATCCTGAGCGCTGGATGATGTTACCTAGTTTGGGTGAGGAAAGGTCTGCAAGAAAATAACTGTGTTCAGAGAGCATGAAGAACCCCTCGTTTCAACCCTGAGCTAAAAACATTCTCCTTTCGTGGTATTTCTCCAAACCTTTGTGGACAAACAGAATCTAGACAGGCTGCACACAGCCCACTCTGGATCCCTAATCCCCCAAATGAGACAGAGAAGAGAATGGAGGCTCTCATCTCACACAGGCTCACAGTTCAACAATGCAGAAACAAAATTAATCTTGGCAATGGTGTGAATGCCCTTTCACCTTTAGTATTTTCTACCTAGGACGAATTTAAAAACAAAACAAAAAACCTTTTCTATCTTTTGGAATATCTGCATGCTGGATGACTCTTAATTCTTTTGGAGGGGGGGTAGTGGACAAAGTGAGGTAATGTATCCCACCCCCACATGCCAGATGTCTTCTGGCCTCTACGCTGCCTATATTTCTGATGTTCTCTTCCCTGTCCTGCTTTTTTTCAAACTTTCCCCAAACTTTTCACACCTGTCATGCAATGAGATGCTGCCACCAGCATCTGGAGAAAAAAGAGAAACCTCCAGAAAATGAAATAAAATTTACTGGGGGAGCGGGGGAGTTTTTACAGTCATAGAAGGGAATTTATCTTGTATCGTTGTGGCTTATCTGTGCTCCTGGCGTCTTCCCAACTGTGTGAGTTTTGCCGTGCTTTCAAGTCTCAAATTCCTTCTCCTGCCCTGCCAAACGAATTGCTTCAGTTCGGTTTGTTTGGATTTTAAGTTACAGTTTGTGTGTACCTTGTTTTGGACTGAATTTTCTCACTTAGAAGCTGTTCCTGGGAGAGTTTTTCTCCAGTCGAAGGTGACCTGGACATTTGGGGTCAAAGTTGGAGATAATAAAGGGACTCTTCTTGCTTATTTGACTTGTGTTGCCTTTGTGCCACACCCATTTGGGTCATCACACTCACTTAGCGACCATTTGACTAATAACTGAAATGATTCACTTTACAACTATGGCAAGTTGGGGGCAAGAGTCACTTAACAACAGATTTGCTCAGCAACAGAAATCTGGAGCTTCATTGTGGTCGTAAGTCGAGGACTACCTGTTATTGATTTTTCAGCCCTAACCCTCGAGAGGAAGAAAATGGCCAGTTTGACAAGTCCCTTCCCTCCCATCAGCCTAAAACTCGATTTTGCTTTTAAAAAAAAGCATGCAGATGACATTTCCCTCCCTTTATATATTTTATATAAGAAACAAATGCAAAGAAAAACAGAACCGAAGCGCCCTCCCCTCCGATTTTCGTATAAAAAACAGAAGAAGGGAAAAAAAAGACATCTTTTTGAGTTTTAAAGATGGTATAAAAATGTACAGCTTCCGTTAAGAAACGTAGTTTTCAGCGTGTCAAGAGTAGAAATATGAAAGGTGGGTGGGAAAAAAGCACCGTTTTGAAAGAGTTTCGAATCAAAATGGATCCGTATGGAAAGGCTGGATGGACGCTGAGAAAGGATCGTAATATATATATATATATATTTTACAATTATTTTAAAAGCAACTTGGAATTGATAAAGGTTGAAAGGGAAGAAGTCCCAGCGGTAAAATATTGTCTCTGTATCATTCAGATTTGCTAAAACAGCACCGGCTGACTTCCCTGAATCGAAGGAAAGGAAAAAGGAAAAAAAAATGCTTTTCTTTGCTACAAAGGTTATTTTTAAAGTTTGGCAACCTAGTTTTTCTGCACAACAATATATAGAGATATAGATATTTATTTATATATGTCATTCATGTCAAATTTTATTTTATTTTTTCCTTTTATATTCCAGAAGATACAAAGCTTTTGAGGATTTCTGCCCAACCACCCGCTCGCCTAGTTTAACCCCTTGTTAATATTGTCTTTCCCCCACTGTTTTGTTTAAATGGATTTTAATTTTTTCCCCCCTTTTTACAAAAATGTGAGTCGCTTAACAAATACGGGAATTTCTGTTGTGTTTAATTCTCCCTCCCGCTGCCCCCCCCCCACCCGTACACCCCTTTTTCATGTTTTAAATTACAAAGGACACAGCAGGCACTGGAAAAAAAAATTCCCTCAAATTAATAATCTTGCTGGATTCAAAACCAACAACAGCAACACAAATAAACCAGGAAATGTGCTTTCCAAAAAACCACACCGTTTCGGTCAATATGGCAACCAAATAATTTGTTTTTAGCAGCCATGAAAGAAAGAAGCCATCGAAATCCCAAAAAATAAAAATGAAAATCCAGCTTTTGTTTTCTAATCACAGACTTAAGACCCCCCCAAGAAATTAACATGGTTAAAACTCAAAAAGACCACTACATATAGTCCTTAACTTACAACCATTCGTTTAGGGACCGTTTGAAGTTGCAATGACTTATGACTCTTTTTCACACTTACGACCGTTGCCGAATCTCCATGGTCACATGATCCAAATTCGGATTCTTGGCGACTGGCTCGTACTTATGACGGTGGCAGTACCCCCTTGTGGGACTGCCTGACAAGCAAAGTCAATGGGGAAGCCAGATTCACTCCAGACCGGCGTTGATTTGCTTAATGACGGCGGTAGAAAGGTTGCACAATGGGGGCCAAACTCACTTGGCTTAGCAATTTGGGGCTCGGTCATAAATCAAGGACTACCTCTAGACACTGCGTACAGTAAGAGATGATGATAGTATGCCTCGATGAATCTCGGATGGCAATGAAACCGGAGGCCACTTTTCACCCACGAATGTCAGTTTCCTCAAGTATATAACCCTGATTACAGACTAAAAGTGCTACTATCCTTTTAGTTCGATGGAATTTGCTATCAGGTCTATGGGATGACCGAAGACCTAAGCCTTCATTATATCCGTATAGGGATATTTTTGAGTTTTTATTTCCTTTTTCTTTCGTTTTTCTTAAAAAAACCCAATCAACAGCAAGTCTATATATATAATAAAACTTGGGAGACAGAAAGGAGCGGTTGCTGATGAAAATGACCGAAAGAATGGAGGGTGTTGGGTTAGATCTGACCCTTTTTAAAATCAAATGTGCTGTCCATGGTAGATGGGAAGAAACATTGTGGTTCAGGATGGGGAAAATTAGATCAGCTGGAATCTAATTGGACATTAGGACCGATTGGAAATTAAGAAAGACATCATCCACTGGGGGAAAAAAAATCAGCTATGCTGAGTTGAGATTTCTGTTAGTTTCTTTTTTCGGAAGAGTAAAATCACAATTGCACCGTTTGCGCATCGGTTTCTGTGTCCAAAATTAGGGCAGAGGTCAAAAAAGGGGAGATGAACTGTACATCGAGAATTAATGAGAGATAAGCAACGTGGGATGGCCTTAACTTGAAAAGCAGATTGGAGCTCACGTCAATGTTGGCTTGCATCTTCCCCCCAGCCCCCAAGGCCTGACCAAACCACGTTCGTTTTGTGTTCGGTTTTCCTTTCTCTCTTTTCATCCAACCCGCCCCCCCCCAATTCAGCACAATCTCTTGTGTTTTTCCCCGAGGATCAAAATGAAAACTTCAACAATGGCCTGCACAAAAAAGGGGGGGGGGAATTCTCTTTTAAAAATTCACAGGAAAGAAAGAAAGAAAGAAAGAAAGAAAGAAAGAAAGAAAGAAAGAAAGAAAGAAAGAAAGAAAGAAAG